AAGGAATAGAAAAGTCTACCCGCACACAACTGTGCTGGGATTAAAAATGTGTTCAGATATTGCATTTATAGCACTCACTTTAGTAGTGTCCCATTTGTATTCAAGCATGTACTTCTTTGCAGTGGGATCAGCTTTTTGCAGACTTGCGGCAAGCTTGGTAGGGCCATTAAAAATAAATTGACTGCTACTATTTAAGTTATATGCAGGAAACTGGTAATCAGCACAAAAGTTCAGACCAAGTGTTTGGTCAAGCGACTGCCAACTGCATACTTTCTGCTCCACTCGGCCTTTCTTGATTCCAGCCTGATATTCCTCCTTATCACCATGCATAACTATCAGTTCAGATCTGAAACAGTATTGAACCCTTTGTAACAGACAAATCCAAACTTTTGTTATGAATGCTGAAGTTACATTAATATGATACATTACCATTAGCAGTAGGTTCACAGTTCTCATTTAAAACAATGAAACATCTCTTCTGCAGGTACTAAAAGAACAGCACTTCTCTGGGGCAGACATAAGGTCTTACCACAGCTACACTGAACAATTTTGCTGTCCCTTAACAGGATACTTCTCATTGATGTACCACATCAAGTACAACAGCATTTAACGCATTACCAAAAAATTCAATTCAGAGTTATAACCATAAAGGGCATTGAAAAAACACACGCACGCGCGCACACAGAGACAGAGAGAGAGAGACAAAGAAGGGGGAAGAGAGACTGACTAACAGCAAAGCTACTATTCAATAACATTTTCTGTAGATTGTCCCAAAACCAAAGCTCGCCATTCTGAAGTGAAGAGCATGGTGTGGAATGAGGCTGAAAGCCTAGTTAACACATGTCTGTGCTTGTGTAAAAAAGTTATGCACAGATAATCTGCAGGCTGGATAATCCACGCATGGACAATCGGGAGTTCACTGTAGTTGCTTTAAACCTATGTGAAACAAACAAATCTACAATAAAGTCTGTTGAATTTAGTTAATTTAAAACTTTACTAAGTTATTTACCTTGCGTTGATTATTTCAATTTTATCCTTCGGAAGATTGAAATTCAGGCTCACAAGTTTGGTGCCTCGAACTTTTAGCTGACCCTCCACAGCTGATGAAGAATACATATTAGTTCGTAGTTTGATTCCGGTACTTGCGTAATAGGCATCAACACCCATTGTTCCAACAACATCTATAGCAACACTGAAATCAACAGATTATAAAAAACGTTTTATACTAAATGAAATTAATCACTTTCTTATCATATAAATCAATGCATTCATAAAGACAGTATCAGAAATTAAAACGCAATATCTGGGATGCACCTTGGTCGTATTTTGCCCTCAACATCCAGCTCGTGTGTCTTCAAAAAGTCACCCGCTTTGATGGACCCTGACATTTGTAAGTTGACTGCAGCTGTACCCACAGCACTTAAACTGATCGGAAGTCCTGTTGAAGTTGGTACAATGTAGCTGGTGTCTAGAAACAGCGCAGCGCTGTTGTAGTTAATTTCCTTGAAAACAAAATATTTACATTTGCACATTTCTTCTAAAGTAAACAGCTTAGAGATACCTTACTAATTTATATTAAGTATAAGTGGTGGAAACACAAATAAATATGATGAATTTATGTCCATTATGCCACTGAATGGTATCCGTAGGTAAGTTACAGAAACAGACTTTATTAATCATATCTATAAACTTCCCATGAACATTTTATTATAATATACTACATATAATGGTTGTCATAAAATAGGTTTTATGAAGTTCCTAAAAACATTTTTCTCTTAAACTGGGAGTCTTACTTACGTCTGCACTGAAATACGAGGTGTGACAACCAAGTTCCCGGAATGCCTAGCTATGTCGCATTACGAAACAAGTGATCAATAACCAAGTAGCAATGCGTTATGACATGTCTGTGGTTTATTTATTTATTTATTTGTTACCTTTCCTGACAACAGCTGTTTTATTTTTTGTACTGGATTAATGGAATTCAATGCAGCCCTTACACCGTCATCACCAGCAACCTTGTGGTATCTTAATTCATTTCCAAATATTTTTACTGCAATAGATGCCTGGAAAAACAACAAATTACACTCACAAATTAGTAAATTAGTACTTGAAAGAGTACAGTGACAATTTAATTCAGATTTTCTTATGTAATTCTCAAGTTATCTTATTGAAAATGCAATGTATAGATGTCATTTTATACACAACAGAATAAAGCGTAATAAATAAAGGAATGGAAATGCAGAAATGTGCAGCTAGACAGTTGAGTTCGCAAAACATACTCATGAATGTTCCTGCACTGACCTTCGGATCATCAAAATTGGTATCCACAACATCTGGAAGAGCATTCACTTTAGACCTCATGTCTTCTGTTGTACTTCGTAAGAACCTTAGTTTATCAAGTCCTTCCTTTACTTTCGCATTGCTGAGTGCACCTTTGGGTCCAAAAATAGACTCGATATAGTGCTCAAAACCTTCCATGCGACCAGCTACCTTCAAAATAAGATTATGATTAAAATATTTCTGCACATTCTAAGTCAACAATTAATTAATAAGATAAAAAAAACAAAGCTTATCACAAATAAATGTGTGGAAAGACAACTTCAATATTTGGCGGCCATAAAACTGAAAATGATGTAAGCTGAGGTGCAAGACTGTTGGTTTCAGCAAATGGGGCTATAAGTTCTTTATTGATCACATTATTTCTCAAAACTTGTGCCCCCTCAATCTCAGATCTGCCACTGTGCCTGCCCTCCAAACAGCCGCTTCTTCACTAAAATTACGCACGTATACCTTGACATTACACCCATATTGTGGCTACCCCAAAGTAATATATTATGAAAAGTGCACCGCCAAAATATTTTCAGATAAATAATGCAACGTCTTTGTTTTCCGCTTTTAATTTCTAGTATAGGAACACGAAGCGCAGTCATATCAAGCATCTTGTGATCAGAAACACACCGCGCAATCCTAACGGATCTGTACACATGCACGTCTACTACACGTTCTTACCATCCAGAGTTTGAAATCCTACACAATTAATACATCCTGTTAGGTGTTATATATAACAAATGTACTTTGTAGAAACAAAACTACTATGAACCTTTTACAGTTTATTCATTTATAAGAATATTAATTTAGATGCGACAGCTTACCTCCAAAATATTTATTGATTCTCCAAACAGGTCTACAGTGACATTGAATGTTCCTGATCGTGGTAGGTAAGATTTTGGTGAAAAGATAGCATTACTTTCATAGCTTCCACCTGAAAATGAAATGAATTTGAGACGTATCAATCAGTAAAAATCACTTACATGCGATAAAAGAATTTTCAAAATTTAAATTGCTCCAAGATATAACTTTGTTACACCATAAGGCAAATGTAACTGATACAGTATTTTCAGAATGAAAAATAAAGCTAAAACATGAAAAAGCTATTTAGACAATAACATTTAAAACAATGGGAAGATAGCTGATGAAATTTCAGAATACTCTTCACTACCTAAACACTCTAAATTGTAATTTTATGTCCTATGACATCAGCTTCAGTTTGAAATAAACTGATTGAATATTACAATCTAGATAATATAATTATAATTTTATTTTACATAAAAATGCGAATATTACTTGAATTAAAAAATCAATTTTCCTGTAAACTTATTTGGACACAAAAATTTACTTACCAAAATTATAATTTTCAAAAAACATGGAGCCTTCATAGTTATGAGAATACTTTCTCACATCATTACTAAATTTACTGTCAAGGTCTTTATCTTGTAAAAGTGCTTGTATTTCCACTTTGCTGGGACTAGACGACTTCAACAAATTGTGAAGGTGACTCCATACAAAAGACCCAACTGCAAATGACAAAAGTTTGACATTCTGTAAACTCACACATAATTTACATAATAATAAATAAATAACAAAAGGTTAATAAACAAACATCAGATATTCAATGCTTCCAATTTTGTGAAATGTACTTCATTCCTTATCCACACCAAAATATTTACATATACCAATTTAATAAGTCACACCAAAATATTTACATATACCAATTTCATAAGTCATATAATATAATATAATAATAATATAACTTTTATTTAACAATAAATATCAATTGCAGTGCATTGATAAAGGACGTAAAATCATATATTTCAACCATTTTTAATTTGTTAATAGCTATATTTCTGGCATCTGTTGGTGTTTGCTATAATAGTATTTCTCTGACTACCGTGCATAAGATTTATAATAAAAAATAAATTTCCTGTAGTGAGAGAACACAAGTACAAACCTAGGCCTAGTTGAGCAGGCCTTACGCTCTGGGTTCATCAACCACAGCCAGGAAAGGTAAAAATTAAAACAAAAAACTCCACATCACTAAATTTTACCTGTGTGAAATGGATCTGAAATGTGAGAACTGATTTCATATGCTTCTCATGAAGTTTGAAAATATACAAATGTTGTTTTGTATTTTAGTTATAAAAACTAAAAAAACAAGGAAACAACTCTTTTATCTTGCCCTGGCTGCAAAAATGGCTACTGCTCTCCCTATAATCACACATTTAGTATCAAACTGAAACGTTGCTATTTGTTTTTAATTGCAGGCATTAAATTGACAAAATTAAAAATTAAAAATTAAAAAATTAAATTATAAAAGATCTCTAACCTTGATTAACTTCTTCTTTATCAAGTGAGTGTTTGATTGTTTTAATCACAATGTAAGTGGGGCATTTCATCACCTCCAAATAGGCCGCAATACGTAATTCTGAATCAACCGACTGATCACGAAAGAGATTCAAGAAGTATTCTCGCGATTCTTCACAAGGAAGTCGTCTGTAAAAAGAGCAACATTTTATCTCATTTATCTTCATAAACACTTCATGAAAGTAAAGTACGATTTCAGTACACTGTAAATAAATCAGATGTTTGTTTTTTTATTAAAATTGACTAAATAATCTACATAATTGGCTTACAACAATCAGCGTGAAGAAGTTAATGTAGTATACAGAGTGGTCCTGAAATGTCTGATCAAACTTTAGAAGCTTGTTCTACTAACTCTAAGAATGATAAAAGATTTCATAGACACAGAATGGACGACACTAGACTGACAAGAGATCCCTCCTTCATATATCCCGCAGCACTGCGGAATTCTACGATCTATCCGTTAGTTAAAGTATTAAATTTCACAGAATCCCTAAATGAAGCACATAGACATGTCTCTCTGAAACTACGCTGTAAAGAATAATAACCCTACAAACGAATTAAAATGAATATATAAAAATGTTTCAGGACCATTTATCAGCGCTCAACTAGGCTAACTACATTACTTATTAATCACTTATGTACTTAGTTGATGGATGTTGACAGAATGACAAAGGCATTCAAACAAGTGAAGAGTTTCAAATACCTGTAGGCCTCTACAGCGGCAATCCTGACCTCTGTGGGCAGTAGTTTATGTTCTATGCAATGTTGCAAAGTAGGATTTATGATACTCTTACCAACACCCATGTTCCCTAGAGCTTTTATGGCTATCAGGGCCTGAAATGAAACACGTTTTAAGGTGCGTAAATAGTCTGCATTAATTATGATTCTAAGCTGTCTGAACAAAGAATGACCCAGCTGGTCAGTTTAAAATCTCACCCAAAATTTTGCTCCTTTACAGAGCTCAATTATTAATGATTGTACACAAAATTTCAGAAGGGCTTACTTTGCTTTTGGCTACTACCAAATCGGAATGTGCCTGCACATTTGCCATCTTATTTTATATAACAGGGAAACAAGGAAAATGGTTCAAGGTTATGAATTTTATATATTTATAAAATTTACACAAATTAGTCACAACAATTGTAGAAAAATTGACACACCTTCTCCAGGGTTGCTTCAGTTTTTCCTTTCAGCTGACAGCCAGTACGAGCTTGTTTCTCAAGGAATGAAATAATGTCAGCAACTTCAGCCTGCGTTTCGCAGTCTGAGTTCCATTTACAGTATGTATGAACAACAGTAGACACACCAAGAAAGAATTGGGCGTCTGCCTTGCTCCATTTCAGCAAGGGTGTAATTATTCTGATTGTCTGTAAATCAGGTCTATAAAACAAACAATAAATTACTTCTTACAATTAGACAAATGTATTTATATCTGTAATTTTTACACTTGTCATAATTCCATAAATCTTTCTAATTCCCATCTTGGACCTGTAGAAATATTAAAACAGACAAAAATAAATTATTCTACAAATCCCACAATAATTCAAGAAATGTATTTACAAAAGAAAAATATATAGGATCTATGTACATATCACACACACCTTGATCACTGTTCGTTAGGCTTACGGCGATGATTTTAAATTTATGCTAATTCGGACGGTAATGGTCGTCTCCTCTTGTAATACTATAGCAGTATTCACGCTGATAGTGCATGTGCAGCATTACGAAACCTTACAACAATCAGCGTGAAGAAGTTAATGTAGTATACAGAGTGGTCCTGAAATGTCTGATCAAACTTTAGAAGCTTGTTCTACTAACTCTAAGAATGATAAAAGATTTCATAGACACAGAATGGACGACACTAGACTGACAAGAGATCCCTCCTTCATATATCCCGCAGCACTGCGGAATTCTACGATCTATCCGTTAGTTAAAGTATTAAATTTCACAGAATCCCTAAATGAAGCACATAGACATGTCTCTCTGAAACTACGCTGTAAAGAATAATAACCCTACAAACGAATTAAAATGAATATATAAAAATGTTTCAGGACCATTTATCAGCGCTCAACTAGGCTAACTACATTACTTATTAATCACTTATGTACTTAGTTGATGGATGTTGACAGAATGACAAAGGCATTCAAACAAGTGAAGAGTTTCAAATACCTGTAGGCCTCTACAGCGGCAATCCTGACCTCTGTGGGCAGTAGTTTATGTTCTATGCAATGTTGCAAAGTAGGATTTATGATACTCTTACCAACACCCATGTTCCCTAGAGCTTTTATGGCTATCAGGGCCTGAAATGAAACACGTTTTAAGGTGCGTAAATAGTCTGCATTAATTATGATTCTAAGCTGTCTGAACAAAGAATGACCCAGCTGGTCAGTTTAAAATCTCACCCAAAATTTTGCTCCTTTACAGAGCTCAATTATTAATGATTGTACACAAAATTTCAGAAGGGCTTACTTTGCTTTTGGCTACTACCAAATCGGAATGTGCCTGCACATTTGCCATCTTATTTTATATAACAGGGAAACAAGGAAAATGGTTCAAGGTTATGAATTTTATATATTTATAAAATTTACACAAATTAGTCACAACAATTGTAGAAAAATTGACACACCTTCTCCAGGGTTGCTTCAGTTTTTCCTTTCAGCTGACAGCCAGTACGAGCTTGTTTCTCAAGGAATGAAATAATGTCAGCAACTTCAGCCTGCGTTTCGCAGTCTGAGTTCCATTTACAGTATGTATGAACAACAGTAGACACACCAAGAAAGAATTGGGCGTCTGCCTTGCTCCATTTCAGCAAGGGTGTAATTATTCTGATTGTCTGTAAATCAGGTCTATAAAACAAACAATAAATTACTTCTTACAATTAGACAAATGTATTTATATCTGTAATTTTTACACTTGTCATAATTCCATAAATCTTTCTAATTCCCATCTTGGACCTGTAGAAATATTAAAACAGACAAAAATAAATTATTCTACAAATCCCACAATAATTCAAGAAATGTATTTACAAAAGAAAAATATATAGGATCTATGTACATATCACACACACCTTGATCACTGTTCGTTAGGCTTACGGCGATGATTTTAAATTTATGCTAATTCGGACGGTAATGGTCGTCTCCTCTTGTAATACTATAGCAGTATTCACGCTGATAGTGCATGTGCAGCATTACGAAACCACGGGTGAATGTAAATGTATCAAGAATTATCATATTTACAAAAGCCGGTGTTATGCACGTTGACATAAGAGGCTTACCTGTGAAAGTGCTAAAAAGACATGGCATATTTTCGTAACAGTGAATATGTTAGCGGAGGTTCCACTCAATTTATTCTAACATGTACCTTGGTGTAAATGACAACGCCAGAAGCCACTCATGAGCAACATCTTGGGACACAGTATTTTGCAGGATGGTATCTTTCATAACTGCAATAGCAGCGTTAGTGCCAAGCATTGGAAGGGCATCCAAAATGTGCCTCCTGAAAATAAATCACATAGATTTACAAAAATTGCTTCTCACTTTATATTAAATTAAGAATTATACCTAACAACACCGTAAACTCTGCACTTCAGTGCCACAAATCTCAATACATAATCAAATATGTTGATTAAATCCCACCATCAAGGTAATGTAACTATTTTGACATAATTTTTCATATTATTTTTGTCACAAGACTATTACAAATTTATTGAAAGACCATAATAGTCTCTGAAATTATGAAGTCTGTGATTAATTGTTACTAAATGATACCTTAGGTACATGAACTATAAATGCTTTGTATCTGGAAAGCAGCAGCAGTTGAAGAATGCGGAGTTTGAAACTGACGTCCCACATCATCACTATTTTCAGAACGTTAAAATTACTGCCAAACTGTTTAGAGGATGACACTATCCAAAATTATGCAGATTTTCATAACACTAAACAGAAATATGTTAATAAACAGGACTTCAAAGAAAAATCATAACACCTCAAAACGAACAAATTTTTTATCGGAACTTTATCATCACGCGTGTTTCAATTATGAAAGCGTTTCAAATTAAAACCTCTCGTACTGTACATTACCTTCCTGTTCTGCAGATGCTTGCGGCACGGTTGTACAACTGTAACAAAGCTGGATATGACAGCAACCTTGCAGTATGAATAAAGTTTGTGAACGCTTCTGGGAACTCGGGCTGAATATCATCCTAAAACAAAATATCAGTATGAAGATTTCCGTCTTCTGGGTTGTTGCGCTGTGTAGTCTGGTCGATGTTAACCAACGTTTCTGAGGTCATACTGCCTCCGTCATCAGAGTATGAAGATTTCTGTCTTCTGGGTTGTTGCGTTGTGTAGTCTGGTTGATGTTAACCAACGTTTCTGAGGTCATACTGCCTCCGTCATCAGAGCGATGAGTATGAAGATTTCTGTCTTCTGGGTTGTTGCGCACGTTTCAGAGGTCATACTGCCTCCATCATCAGGGCGATGAGTATGAAGATTTCTGTCTTCTGGGTTGTTGCGCTGTGTAGTCTGGTCGATGTTTACCAACGTTTCTGAGGTCATACTGCCTCCGCCATCAGGGTGATAAATAAGCCAATAGGGTGTGTGGGGCTAGGTTTATAGGTGCCGGAACAACTCAGAAGACAGAAATCTTCATACTCACCGCTGTGAAAACCTCAAATCTTACATAAAATATCAGTACATTTGAAACGATAAGCACATATGACAAGTAATATACATATTAATGCCACGAGTTAATACCAGACACAAATTTATAACATAAAGGCGTATGAAAGAAACAACTAAATGCTATCAAAACACTGCCTTCTAGGTGTCTGTCTATCACTGATTATGTCACAACATTTTCCTGTGAAGTAACATTCCAAAGTATCTAAAGCACATGTTAGTGCAAACATGCATGGATGCCAGATTATAAAGAAAGAACAAGTGTGAGGGATCAAGAAATCTTCAATATGAAGATCAGTCATATTTAAATGAAATGATACATCCTCTCTCATACTGCATTAACTTTGTAATTAATAAATTATATATTTTTATTTGAGGCTGTCACTTACTGTACTGAACTTGCACATTGCCTTGATAAGGTCCCAAGAGGCTCTCAGTTCGCCAGACACTGGCTTTGGCGTTTGGTCATGATCAAACAACAACGTGGATCTACGATTTACAAGGTCTGGAACAGACGAGAACAACGTGAAACTGACAGCCTTTTGTAATATTTTGCAGGAGTAATTAACTGTAAATAAACAAAAACAAATGAAAAAAGTGACAGGTCGCAAGACTCTGGAAACACAGGTTGCTGCTGTTAAGAGATTACCTGGCAAATCTGAAGTCGAGTTCCTCTCTGTAACTAGCGTCAACACTTGTTTTATAATGGTTTGTGCGCCACTATCCTTGCTAGAAAATGGCTGAAACAGATGCACTTCCTGGCAAACAATTTTGTTGTAGATATTGTGGTCTACTGACATCTCACAGGAACTATTAGAGCGCATGATAGGCATCGGCTGAAAACTCTGGAATTGAAGACAAAGCAAAGATTATTTCATCGTCAAAATGCCAACCAGTGCACGCTTAGAAGAAACAGATGCATAAATACTTTGACGTCTACTGAAAATGTCAGCACAAGAGACCGTGGACACCACGCCGCCTCCTTCTGCAAAACGTGACTTATTTGCAAAAAAAATATTTTGACTAAAACAATATTTTCCACATGTCATGGGTCCCACACTTTTGAATGTTATGAACTAACTAAGAATATGGGCAGTACGAAACGGATGTCATTACCTGGTTGTTATTGGTGGGCAAAAGCGCCTGCTTGACGAGGTTACGTCCACTTACTTTTATTTTTATTTTATGGAACAACAGTTTGTGAACCGCATGGGTCCATTATAACAAATTGTAGTGAATTATTTGTTATAAATTTTATTATATTTGTCTTGCCTACATTTGGGGCCTGCTTGCTAGCAGTAAAACATTTGTTCACGCGAGAAAGAACTGTTTGACATTTTACAGAAATTACAGAACTTGACACTTTTACCATCAGAAAATATGTGGCTTCTGATTTCACATTTATTTTCAGAGGAAGGTCTTTTAGTCACATTATGAAAAGCGATGGCCGTAGAACTGGCCTTCGGGGAACTCCATATTTAAAACTAGCGTACAATGTGTTGAAGTCTTTTAAAAATTACATGTTAGAGGAATTTTCTGTGACGTAGCAAAATTTGTTATTACAGCTTTTATGGCATTCAAAGAATTCAACCAACTTTTCGCTTTTTCATGCCATTTGAACGTATTTACCTGTCTGAAGAGATAAGGTGTTGTTTGAAGAATGGAATGATGCTTGTATCTGTAAGTGCAGGAGGAAATATCCTTCTTCTTTGAGATGACGAGGCTCGTCTCTCTGGCCCCCATCAGAGAATATTTCGTTCCACAGAGTCCATTTACATCAGTCTGTTACACGTAATATGTATAAAGTTACAAGCAGTCAAATGAAATGTTTCTGAAAAATTCATCAATGTTTTTTTACTTCATGGGCAAAACATTTAAGCATCTTACATCTGTGCTGTGATGGTCCACATCAAACCTCTTCATAGTGTTTTGAAGTGTTGAGAGAATTCCCCTCTTGAAATTGAGCACCCAACTCGTCTCATTCGAGTGGGGGCATACTTCTGGAATAAGTCCATCAATAAAAGAAAACCTGGAAAAAGAATTCAGTCCACACAAAAATGCTCATTATTCGAGTACTAAGGTCATAAAACCAAACCAAAATAAATACTGACCATTGAAATTTTTATGTTTAATTAAAAAAATCGATTTTATTTAATGGTAAAATAAACTGGCAACAGAATCAAAAGGTCCAGCGCTACGATCAACAAAACTAGATGCATTTGTACTACGTTTGTCCGCGTCTCTCTTCCAGTATCAACCATGCAAATATATTTGCTCTCTGCGGAGACTCTTAGATCACAGGCACAAACTACGTTATACTGTCACCTTAACGGATGTTGACTAATGGCTTGGCTGAATTCTGCTGAATGAGGAATTCCAGGACTCAGAATGTCAGCGTCTTCTTCGCTGTCATACGCCGGTGCCTCTTCTGTTAACGACAGCTGCGACACCTAAGATGAAATTGGTAGGAGAGACAGAATTACAAATAACTTAAATTTTGTGGTACTCAGCGCCAAATATAATCAGACTGATCATGTCAAGGAGGATGAGATTGGCAGGGCATGTAGCACGCATGGGAGGGAAGAGGAATACATACAGACCAGAAGGAAAGAGACCACTGGGAAGACCTAGACATCATTGGGTGGCATGGACTGGATTCATCTGGCTCAGGATAGGGACCAGTGGCGGGCTCTTGTGAACATCTTAATGAACCTTCGGGTTCCATAAAATGTTGGGAATTTCTGAGCGGCTGGCGACTGTTGGCTTCTCGCGAAGGACTCGGCTCCTCGAAGAAAGTAAGCACAGATTTTAACTGCGTATATGCACTGCTAAGATGACTCCTGCCATATACTTATATTCATCCGCTCACGGCGCGCAACCAGAGAACTACACTGTATTCAAAAACATTTCATACTATCAGTAAAAATATTAAATGCAAACTCAGTTTACAATTACCTGAAGAACTCCTTCACACGATGTTGGAAATATCAATGATACTTGTGCAGAAATATACAGTGATGATTTGTTTGCGCTTGTTCCACCAAATAACGTGCTGATTTCACTAGTGTATTCATACACATATTCTGTTGCTGTCAGGTAGGAAAACTTCCCCCCAGCTGAAAGCAATAAATATGGATTTATGGAAGATCTCACATTGACTTAGGCACTAAAGCAAGCAGATATTTAGTACAAAAATTATGTATAAGGGAGATGAGTGAGGCGAAATTCATTCTTGCTTGTAAATGAACAGAAAAGATTAAGAACAAGATTTGAGCAGCTCTGATGCATACCAGGGATAGAAAGTATGAGCTTTTACTTATTTGCATCTGGACAGTTTTCAGCGTATTTCGAGTAGCAATATTACTGTGACAGATTTAACATGGCTACTATATCGACAGTATGAACCAATCAGGAATGATGGTTTCTATGACAATAGGTTGAGAAATCTAGTGAAATTTACAGAATAATGACAATTCACATGGTAATAATTGTATGAACCAAAAAAAGTTATAACTGTGCTGAAAGATTAAATGAACATGTGGAAGCACTTAACCTCTCAAGATGCC